CCGTATTTAACATTTGTAGGTCAGACACCAGAGTGGTAAAGTCATAAAACCGGTGTTTTGTCAGGGACTGCGGCTCCGGCGGGGCAGGAGGTGCCCTGTGGGCAGAGCGGGGGGGGGGCTGCGGGGGGGCTACCGTGAGCGGGGTTTTATTTCCTGAAATACCGGTGAGACTGTGCGGGACCGCACCGATGCTCACATTAACAGCGTGTGGGAACGAGACCGTCTAAACGGGTACTGATCTCAGATACAATGTAGACATTAATTTTACAGCAAAATCCGTATGATTATTTTTAGCAAGTGCAGCAAGTGAGAAAACACAGAGTAAATTCTGCCTTAAATCACACGAGTTCAGTTCCCATAACAGCTGACAGAACTTGTGCCCGTGTACTGAAGACAGAATTCAGTGTAATTAGAGTTCAGAAAGACCAGCCGAGGTCACAGCCCTACTGGGTCCCATGCAGTGAAAATGTAAAGAGAGAAATCCTGTGTTGGGATCCTGTAAGAAGAATGGGATGGAGAACACGGGCACAAGGGGGTGAAGGTTAATATTTTCATCTAACATTCATGTGACAAATGATAGGACCTTTGTGATGCTGATAGCTAAAACTCATTTTGCCACAGAAATAGCGAGTCTTACCCTAGGTCAGATCAAAGGTCCGTCTAGCATAGCTTCCTGTGTGTGGCAGTGGCAACAAAGAACACGTAGGGAAAGGTTCAAGAGCCCGAAGAGCATTTACCAATAATGTAGTAAGCAGGAGAAGGAGGAAGCCATAAACCAGAATGTAGAGATGCAGACCTGACGAATGGTAAGGGAGGCAGTGATGAGACACAAACCCGGTCAGTCACGCTAATTGATGAGGGAATGCTTATTTCAGTAAGATTATCTGATCAAAGGTCTTGTCAAATGGGATACCAAGATAAAAGTGGGAAGCCATAAACAAAATATGGAGACACAGACTTGACAGGCAAACCTAATGGCGACAAAGACAAGAAACAAACTGGTTCTCAGTAAACCGCAGGCAAACTGGAACTTTGCAAATGGTGAGGATGCGAACCTGAGGGTCCAGGATGATGGGAAGGGACCTGTGGAGCTATACAAACTGCTGAAGGAATGTGCGAGGGAAGGGCATCTGGAGGAGCAAAGGAGGAATAAACAGAACCAGTTGTGTGTAAAAGAGGGCAGTCAGCACGCTTGTCTGACTGAGCCCAGCACCTGAGCACCACAGTCTTCTTAAATCCTGTCTTCTTATTAAATCTTTTCTTAACGATCTGTTAGTGGGGAGGATTTTACATTAACTTATTAATTTTATACATTATTTTATTCTTAAAAAAAAAAAAAAGAATAATCCTAATTTTCTATTGGTCTTTAACCACTAATGAAAAGACAGAAAAAACTTTGCTAAAGTGCACGTGAAGGGTTTTGGGTTTTTGCCAGAACTTGGAAGTGCTGTGTAAGCAAAAGCTTATTTCTGGTGGTTAGCCATAGCCCAGTGTATATATATGTTCTGTTCTATATAGCTTATATAGTATAGCATATGCTGTATGTCATATGTAGCATATATGTTAAATATAACATGTTAAATACAATACATAAATACTATATTATATAGTATGTATACTATTATATATCCACAATAATACACACACACATGATACATATGATCTCTTGTGTAAGCTGTATATTGTATATACTATGTATGATACATATATAATATACTTTATATATTTATTGGTAGGACTGGCTATACAAACTCCGTTACTGATGTTTGTTATCGTGTAGTTTGTTGAGGTTCCAATGTCCACTCCCGAAAGCTGTCTGTAGGTACACCCCCTGCACAAAGGGAGCACAGCAACACTGAGCTCTCGAACAGGACCGAGGCTTCCCAGAATCCTGCTTCAGCTCTGAGTGGCAGATCCTGCCGTGCCTGCTACCTCCAGGTTGGCACGCCTTATCAGGATGAGCCAGAAGACATGAACCCACCACCTTGCTTCTTACAAAGCTGCCCGACGCAGCTTTTCTCACATTTGACTCGATCTCTGATGCAAGAAGCTCTTCCTTCTGCAGGTGAGATTGTCCAAACTGTTCTCCTAGTCATCAACACTGAGATGAAATAAGGATTTCTTCTTAGAGAGCAAAGTATGTCATCCCTTTTCTGCATCAGGTGTTTACTCTTGGGAACCATTTCCTGGCAGACAGATCCTGAGTCGCTAGGCTACTAGCTTAAGCTAGTGGCTTAAGAAGATGGGTGGACTGGGTTTAAGAAAGGACTCTCATGAACTTGGCAGACCACCAGTGGTGTACAGAATGCATAAACCTCTGCTTAGGTAGTATTCTGATGAAATGGGGTAGCTGGAGGAGGCAACTACTCATTGTAAAAGTGAGAAGGACAAATAAATCCTCACAAATGCAGGTGGGGAAATAACTTCCCCAGTAGACAAAATTGCGTATGTGAAGCAGTAATTTTAGAGCAATTGGCCTGAACCGAGGCCTCTGGGAGAATGGATAAGGTGCTCCCATGCCCAGTTTAGTTTTCTTACTGCTAGCCAAGGCAGCTAGCTCTGCAAGAGCTGTGGAGGCACATACCCCCACTGCCTCCGATGCATATACGATTGGTTTATGTTTCAGTGCAAGCACGGTAACAACTTTTATGACCTGTGTGTGTTAATTTACTCATAAATAAAATAACCATGTGCTTTTGAGAGTCTTAAGCCAATTTTTGAAAGGGTGTCTTTATTTTCAATCCTTGAAAAGTACCTTGTCCTCAGATTGCTCATGTGTAAAAACGTAAGTGATGGCCTGCAGGTGCACTTCTCTCAAGGATTACGTAAGGTTACTTCAAAATTTTCTCAGTAGGAAATGTGATGTGTGTTGGCGTTGGTGACGTTTCCCTGACACCAGACTAATAGATAACTGGCAGTGTGACATCCGAGTGCAGGTTCCTTTGCTGCAGTGCTGACCTGGGCTGCCGGGGCGGCCAAGCCATCCCAGCGACCGGGCCCTCGCTCCGCGAGCGGCCATCGCCCCTGCAGACAAAGCGGAGGGCGGTGGGCGGCAGCGACCGGTCCGTGTCGGGGCCGAACCGGGGGCCGCCCCCCCCGAACCAAA